TGTAACCTCTCCCTGGTCCGTGTCTCCTTTCCTACTTCTGTCCCCCTCGTGCTCCCTTTCAGCGCTTCCCTCTCCCCTCTCAGCCGCCCCTCACTCCGTGCACCCGTCTGGGATCTTGGCTCTGCCTCTCCCCTGGCCTGTGTGTCTCTCCTCCACCCTCCTGATCGCCACCAACCCGGCAGGTCTCACCACTCTCCCTGCCCGGGGGCGGCTCCACTGTTACACCTGCAGCTTCGCCAAACCCTGCTACCCTGTTCCCACCGAGTGTGGGGATGACGAAGCTTGTGGCGTCAGCATCGGCACCTCAGGTAGGACTCTGGTCCAATGGCCCTCCCCCAGATGGTTCCCCACCCCCTCGGTCCTGCCCTCCCTGCTGCCCCTGCCCCTACCTCCGACCACCCCAGCCTGGGCCTCAGGCCTCAGCATCGCCCCTTCCTCCCACAGAGCAGAGTGAGGTCATCCAGCGGAAAGGCTGCCTCCCCAGGGCCCAGTGCCCTCTGCCGGGCCATGCCACCTACTGGTCACGCTCATACACGCTGCGGCACCACTGCTGCGACCAGGACCTGTGCAACGCGGCCCCCAGGCCCCTGCTCCCCACCCTGCTCCTCACCGCCAGCTTCATCTGCGGAAGGACCCTCCTCCTCTAGCCTCCTCAGAGCTGCGGCCCTCAACCCAGACGCCCTCACCATCTCCGTGGCCCTGGGGACACCTGCCTGACATTTGAGATGTGGCCAAGATCCTGGCTTGACAGGCAGGCCTCAGCTCCCTGGCCCCACAGCTTTGCAGAGCGCTTCCAAGACCTGATTCCTGTGGGCCCTGCTCCAGCCCCTACAACTTGCCCAGAGCCCGGCCTCATAAAAATGCTGTTCTGTGTCTTTTGTATTTTTTAGATACTGAGGCTGACGCCCTCTCCAAGCCCCAGCTCTCTGGCAAGGCAGGTGCTTGATGGAGCTGTGGGTCCCAGGCAAGGGGATGGCAGGGGCCCCATGTATGGAGAGGAGGGGTGTCTTGCCAGGGAAGGTCCATTTGGTGGATCAGGAACTTAGGAAGGAGGGCTTGGGGAACGATAAAGGGCGAATTTAATAAAGTGCTATCTGGGGGTCTGGTAACACTGCCGTGAGTGCGTGCATGTGTGTGCACGAGCATGTGTGTGCGTGCACGTGCGCGTGTGTGCATGTATGGGCATGTGCGTGCGCATGTGTGTGTGCATGTGTGTGCATGTGCGCGCGCATATGTGTGTGTGTGTGCATGTGTGTGTTTTCTCTAAAAGCCAACTGTAGCTCTTGGTGGTTGCGCTGGGGCTGGAACCCCGACCATAATTGTCATCTCGTTCTCTGTCATTCG